ATTCCCCTCCAATTTATCCACCCACCCACCTCCGATATTGAGCTAATTGAATTTTACAAGCGGGAGGAGCGTAATTTAACTTAGACAAACCATCCTCTTGAAACCAATGCAGTGATTCTATGACGTCATTTTTTGGAACAGGAGCGGCGTCTCCTGCTATCTTGTAGCCATACCACATAAAGCCATATGTTTGAAGTTTGACAATCTAGTCTGAACAGCTGTGCGCTCACTGCGGAATCATCTACCCAATCCCTGTTGGAATGGCGGCATCAGCTTCCAGGGTTGTGTTCAAAATATATTTATGATGCAACTGTTTTTGCCGTGATAGTGGTTGTCACACCAGACACCACTGTGCCATGCATGCTCTGTTATGTTTCCTTTCCTCCTCCAGCACCGATAGCATTCACCACCTTGTTTTATACAGCCTACTTTATCAAATTTTGTTATCGGGAATGACCTGACCGCGTAACCAAACCCATTTTCGCCAGGGTTCTGTTCGCCTCCTTATTCTATTGACTCAGTTCAACTTGTATGGTTCCGCTTGTTTGAAATGATTCTATAGATGTGCGCTTACGGCTATCATAGCTATTAATGTGCTATTTTTCTCAACCAAAGAGCACTTTATTATTTATATCAGAGAAGTTTGTGTTCTGTGGTTTTTGTTGCGATTAAAAGCCACAAGTATCCACCCCTACTCCTGAGGATGGGAGGTAAAAGTTACTAGGTGCTGTAGTGAGATTGGGGAGGAGGATGAGACAAATAGATGTTTCCTCTTTTCCATAGTATCATCATCTTATTTAACATGTTCTCCCGGTATGCGAAGCGAGCACCATCTCTTTTATATCCGATAGTTCTGTCCGAAATGACATACTGATGATGAAGATGATCTTAATCATACCGCACGACTACAGATGAATACAAAAGCGGATGAATTGTGTGTGTGTGTGCGCGCGCGCGCTCGTTCGGTGTTTGATGCTCTGGCTTGCGATGCTGATGCCATGTTGATGGATCGAACCTATCTCTTCCTTCCCGGGGGACCGGGGAAACCTGTGCGCACTACCACTGTTTGCGCGCGACCGCAATCGGTTCTAATGTCATTCATGTCACGATACGATCGAATGACAATAACACAAAAGAAACCTGCTCCTACTGATTACAAGTGTTCTCATCTAGTTCTCTGATTGTTTTCACTTCTGTGCACGGTTTTTCGTCAGCCCCATTGTTGACCATCTTTTTCTCTGCACTATGCTCAAGCGAAATCCAGGTGTATAATTTAAGAATAATACTTCATAACGGAGACGCATGTAGCGTTTTGTGTCCGTTATCTACCTGGTTGTTTGTGCGACCAATTTTGCGGTCATCTTATGGGTCCAGTGTTCCATGATGGATCGCACCAAAGCGTAGGATATCCGTAATAATTATTGCCGATTGGCATAGTTTGACGCTGAATGACAGTATAGCACAAACCAGCGCAATCTCTTTTTTTGAAGGAACAAAATTCTTCGAATGGGCTGGGGGTAATCACTATTGTACGTGTATTTGGCGTTGGCTCATTGGTTTAATCGCTGTCACCGGCGTGCTTTCGTCACTATGTTCCAACGTTCGAGCCCTGCCACCACTAACCAACTTTAGTGGTAGGCTGCTTCGCTGTCGTCCGGTTCAATACCACGCATAATCTAATGGGGCCTTATGTGTTCGACACTCCAAGTCCCGAGGCTTAGGTTGTCGGTTTCCATCATTGAAAAGAAACTCCTCGTGACTGTGGGGTTTACCCCGACTGCTGTTCATCACACTAAAAACGCTGGTGTTCACTTTTCCAACTCAAGTTGCGGGGTTGTTTTTTGTATCGTCAATGTTGGTGGTTTTCTGATGTAATTTAGAAATTTTTCCTCAATGTCTGTTGTCCTTCTTTTCACCATGCATGCTTGTTATTCACAAACGAACCGGTTCAGCTTTGGTGCCCCGGCCTTTTTTATCATCCATTATTTTTGCGTGGGGCAAATAGTGTTTGTTAGCGAACGGTGATGGCCAACCCACACAGGATCACCATCAAATTGATCCAGAGGACTTGTGTGTCCAAATCCTACCATCTATCTTACTCTGTGTTTCTGTGTGCCCGTTCATCGCCCAAATTCGTCTTTCTGAAAATCAGTTGTGTAATTCTCTCTTGACAATGAAACCCAGAATTCACGGACTTATACGGGATATCTGGTGCTGTTAACATCGTAAGCTGAGATTTTTCGGCCATGTTGCTGCTGCTCGAGACTCTTCTACAGTATACTCAGTATAGGACACGATTGTATTGATACATTTTACTAGTGAACCAGTTAAAACTGTTTTGGAATTCGATAAGTGTGAATTCAGTCCAAGGATCCATGTTTTCTTTCAAGTTAGAATGATTTTCTTTACAACCGTTGAATCTGGTAGCAGATCTTGTCTGACAGTTGGCTTTTACTTTATTTAATCTGGCTTCGTATTAATCATGGGTTTTCGTGGGAGTTCGATACGAGTGATGTCCACAAAGTTACTTGGTGTTTTTTAGAGCGCGATTGCCTGGCAGAAGTATTGTTACATGGTTCCCGGTGGCTCCTTA